GACTGGAATTTAAATAAAAGCATGAAACAAACAACAAAAATAATAATAATAGAAATAAATAAAATGAAAATTTGAGACAATTTTAATTTCTATTCTCAAATTTTGATATAAGTGGTTGATTTCCTTTTTTATAAAATAAACACTAATTATAAATTTAAAAAAAGAACGGCATAGGAATGGATAAATGAAGAATACAGGAGACTGTTCTGTTTCTAGAAAGATAATTTAGAAAGATGGGCAAGTCTTGTTCCTTTTCTATTAATAATTAGATTCTTGTTTTAAAAATGATTATGTATTTATTTTGAGAGAGAGGAGAGCATGTGGGGGGAGGAGGATGAGAGAGAGAATCCCAGGCTGGAACCAGGCTTTCAGCACACAGCCCGAAGCAGGGCTTTAAGCAGGGCTCATGATTTGATTTGTGAGAAAATGACCTGTGCTGAAATCAAGAGTCAGATGCTTAATTGACTGAGCCACCTAGGCGCCCTTCTCTGTTCATGCTCTTGATGACACTCCAAGGGAGTCACAGTGTAGAAAGGAGAATAGCTCAGAATTTTCTAGGTAAAATTCCCTGACATCCTAAAGAATATATTCTTAGAAATATAAAAGATAATACAGAGTTCATATTAGTTTTATGAGTTTATACTTTTTTCCCATTATGGAATCTCTTGGAAGTTATTCCATAGGGCTCTCAAAAGGAATTGCTTGAATGTCTCTCTTCACTAGTTGTCCCAAGTCTGTATGCCATGGATTTCAGTGGGTACTAAGAGCTATACCAAGTGGACAGTAATTTCATGTGTACAGTAATATTATCAGTGGGCTAAATAAAGAGTATAGTGCATTTCACGTACCTAAGGAGAGTGACTATTCAAATGTATGTACATAATGCTGTGATTAGTAATGAAGAAATGTATTTAACACCGTAAGTTAATCCTGTGTAGCTTTTCTATCTTCTTAGTCAATAGATAAATAGATTTCAGCTATTATCACACAGGTAAGAAGAAATGTTTGATACTAAAGATGTTGTTGAGATCTAAAAGTTTGGCAACAACTGAACTGCCGTGTAATGTACATGTATACATCTAACTTTGTGTGTGTGTGTGTGTGTGCATTCAAACAGATACACACATCTCTAGATATAGTTTATGAAAATCCACACCACCAGAAGGATAGTAGGATATTAAAAAATTTTTTTTCTGTACAGATGTAACATCTAAATCTCTCTGAGACAGCATTTTAAATTATTAAGCAGGATACTTAACATTTGTGCTTGAACATTTTATTTGTAAACAGATAAATTAGAGGACACCATTAATCAACAAGATTTCTCACACTGCAGAAGGAACATAGGGTCCCTTTTAGCTTCATCTTTGTAACCATTATTTATAAATCACTAAATACTTAATAAGGAGAGCATCAAAAAGCTAAGTTGATTAAATATGAATCAGAAAATAAGATGAAGCAAAAGTTGAATAGTAGTATCTTTTCTTATTTATTGTCCAGGTTTTGAAAAATTAAGGTTCTTTTTTTTTCTAGTTTTGTTACCCCAAAACACACAATTTCTTCCAAACCAGGAAGTAATTTTGAGCAACCCTGAATATCCCTGTGAGTGCATTTATTTCCTTTTCATTTGAGCAAAATTTCCTTGAGTGGAAAAGACTGATCTTTTAAAAATAGTATAAAAATGATACCCCATCCTTATAGTTCAATTTATTATTGAACTCTTCAAAGAAAATAAAAATAACTAGAATGGTTTCTCACATGGCTAAAATTCAGATAAAGATTTTTCTTGCTAATGCTCTTCAGAGAACTGTTATGGAAAATCACTAAACTGGCTTCTGACAGTGTTTTCATATATAGAACAAAATATAAATGACAGTATTTTCATTACTGCTAATAATGGAAATATTGATGTCTAAATGTTTATACTCTGGAAAAATATGATTTGAGAGCTTAACTGAATAAAACATGTGTTGATCACTAAAATAGATTTTTTTTAATTTATAAAACAATTGGCATCTAATGTCCCATATGGGGTTCTATCTTCTCCCCTAGTGATGCTTGAAAGAGAGAGTTAAAGTGCAAAACAAAGTGAGGGAAACATACCAAGAAAACAGTAAAGTTAAGAAAAATTCTTAATTAGATGATCCATGAAGTCCCTACTCTTGTTTGTGCCCCCCACTCCCCAATAAGGGTAATTCAATAAATAACATGTTTGAGGGAGTCTGTGTACACAGTGTCTTGGCACAGAGAAAGGTGAGATTAGAACCACCTCCGGAATCGGTCCTGGTAGCCTGGCTGAACTCTACTGTGGTGTGAGTTGATGCACAGAGATTATATGCAGTAGTTTATCTGTTGTATCTGCTATGTTTACAGATGGGAAAATATAGATACTGTAGCATACATACAGATGAACAGCCATTTGAGAACTTTTAAATCTATTACACTTTTAACACAATTATTCCTTGCTTTGGCTCTCCAGTAGAAAGTTTTCTCTTCCCATAGAAAAACAAAATGTTGCTGTACAGAGACCTAACAGATTAGTGTTTACTGCTCCCTGTTTAGAGAATGAGGGTGGCCTTTGTGGAAGTGTTTGGAGTCCTTGGCAAACTTTATCTACTAACAAGCAGGGGACATTTACAAGGTCAGACTCCTTGCAAAAGGCTGGACTGCATCTCAGAATAACCACTGCAGACTTCATCTATTACGAAAGACACAATCTCCTTTAAAGCAGTTCCAAAACAATAATATTTATCAACTTGAGAGGCTGGTGGAAACTCATCTGTCCCTCCCAACACATCTCCATTGAGTCCACACTGAAACAAGATCCCCTTAGTTACTAGATACCTACCTAGAGGTAACTTTATAGTCTTTCATCTACTAGATTAAATTTATTTTTTTCCCCAAAGGAAGAGTGTCTTTTTACATATTCAATTTTTGCCTACACTTTAAGAATATACCATTAACTTGTTCGTTGTCAATTAGGCATAAAACATAGCAAGAATGGCAATGCTTTACTTCTGTTTTCTAAAATATCATAAACAAGCAAGCATCGACCACTATTTTCTAATCTTTCTTGGTATCTGAGGTATTTTGGACTGTTTTAAAACAACCATGATGCTTCATGGCATTGTAATTTAGAATTTGTCTAAATATAATGTTGAACTGTGCCATCTTCAAGGCTAATATATAGGAACAGTTTATTTGGTCAAGTTGAATGTACTGGGCCAAAGAATTCTGTAATTAAAATTGATTCATGTTATACAGTACAGTAACTCATGTTGTACTATACAGTACAGTGATTAAAAACTTCACTTCTTGGAAAAATGATTCCCCAAAGAAGCTATGCCTAAAGTTACAGAGATCCTCCAAACTGAGGATGTGAATGATCTGAGGAGCTACTTACAAATATCAGAGGTCTACTGACTCTGAATATTTCCTGTTTTCATGGCATAAAGTCAGCTCCTTCTAAAAACTCTTTTTTGTTGTTTATTTATTTATTTTGAGAGAGACAGAGACAATGTGAGAAGGGTAAGTACAGAGAGAAAGGGAGAGAAAGAGAATTGCAAGCAGGCCCCACACTTTCAGCTCGGAGCCCAACATGGGGCTTGAACCCACAAACCGTGAGATCATAACCCGAGCCGAAACCAAGAGTTGGCCACTTAACCAAGGGAGTGACCCAGATGCCCCATCCTTCTAGAAACCCTTGAAAGCACCAATATTAGCATTCTGAGTTACATGTGACAAAAAATCAACTCAAAAGAGATAAAAAATATATAAAGAAATTAAATGGCTTACATAACTGAAAAGGTCAGGTCAATAGGGACAGTTTCAAATGTGCCTGGAGGCAGAGGATGGTAGATGCCACTAAGACTCTTCCTCTGGATCTGGGCCTCATGTAGGTTTTTCTTATCATGAAAGCAAGATGCTTGTAGCATCTGTAGCAACCTCACATCTTTCCAACCTCAAGTCTGATGGAGAGAGGACCTGCCTGTCTCAGTATTCCCAATTGAAAGTTTTATTATGTTTCATTGGCTTTGATTGTATTACCTGCCAATTCCTCAATCAATTGCCCTGATCAGAAGAATTTAAGAATACAATATACTGTTAGACTTGGGCCTTAGACATCTGTTCCACTCCTAGAGTTCAGGATGGAGGCCATTATGGAAAGGAAAGAATGGGGAACCTTAAACTAAAACTGGAGCCTTTTAGGGGTGTCTCAGTGACTCACTTGGTTAAGCATAAATAAATAAACATTAAACAAACAAACAAAAAACTCTGGAGCCTTCCACCAAAAAGAGGATGGCTGCTGGGGACACAAACCATGAAATTCACTGTTCCACCCTCCTGGAACCCTTTGCCATCAGCTCATTAGACACAGCATCATCTGATATTATTGTTCCTTATGTGTCAGGGATGTTTAAAAATTCATAAATGGAGGTGTAATCTTATAGGCCTAATACTCATACTCTCTAATACAATGTTTAGTTTTTTTTAAGTTTGTTTTGAGAAAGAGAGAAAGAGGGGGCGAGGGGCAGAAAGAGAGGGAGAGAAAGAATCCCAAGCAGTTTCTATTTTCAGCAAAGTCCAACGTGAGGCTCAGTCTTATGAATTGCAAGATCATAACCATAGCTGAGATCAAGAGTAGGATGTGTAAGTGACTGAGCCACCCAGGTGCCCAATATTTAAAATTTTTCCCAATATTTAAATTTTAAATGAAATTATTAATTATATCCAAGTAAATACTAGTTATTCTGTAAGTGGATTCTTTGTATTAACACCCACAAATACTTGGATTTTTAATTTAGGATGTACAGTTCAAAATCTATTTTAGTCAATTTGAGGCAAAGAATAACATTAGAATAATTTACAGAATGGCTAGGAAAACACATTTATATTAATATAACACTGTGAAATAGATTAATTTGGGATAATTCTATAAAGAACTCTTTGCTTGTCCAAGAGGACACAACTGCACCCCAACTTAGCTGATTCCTTCTCAGGGTTTTATTCATTCCAAGAGTGGGCTGTATCACATGATCAAGTCTCTGACAGCCGTCTGCCCATGTGGAACACAGAGGACAAGGTAAGAAAGTTACTTTGGGGTCAGATCATCCAGGAACGTATAGACTGTAAGGATTTTAGTCTTTATTCAGAAAAGGGTGATGTAATCAGATTTGCATTTGAAAAATCACTTTTGTTAACTTGCAGAGAATAAATCAGAGGTTGGTGTAAAAATTATGTTAGGAAGCTAGTAGAGTGGTCCAGGTGAGAGAAGATGATGCAGTGGTGGCATGTACTAGAGTGGCACTGTTGGAAAAATTTGACAGATTTGAGAGAGATTTTAAATAAAAAGTAAAAAGACACATTGGTTTTCACAAGTTGTAAGAGTCATTGAATGCCAGCAATTTTTTTTCAGTGTACTTCTGAGGAGACCAGTAACCAGTCTGTTTTCCTAATGAGACTCAATAAAGACTATCATTCTATGACAGTCATATTCCTTTAGTTTATTACAACATAGCAATACCTGTAGGAATAATGATCCCTACATCCTATAACTTTCCAGTTAATGGAGATGGCTTTTGACCATAGCCTTCATCTCTTACCTTGTTAATTCAAGTCTTTTTTGCTTCTTGCTATACTAACTCATGAAATGAGACACCTTCATGAAATGTAAAAGCATACAACAATCTAGGGTACTTATAGGCCTGAAAATATTTTGAGTTATATCATAGTTTATAGATATCCATTCCTTAAATCCTTACACTAATATGATCTGGAGAACTGTGTAAGTCAGTAAAGGTAGCTGACCTGACATAGCACACTATATGGATATTTTTCCTTAAACAAATGCTATATCCTGAAATTTAAAATTTACATTTAGATCAAAATGACATTGATATGATTACATGCCTTGCAAACCTTCCATTCTGATTCTACCTTCCCTTTTTCCTCCCTGATTCCTGTAGTATTAGTGTTCCCCAGAATCTCACTGTAGACCATTTGCTCCTATTCCAAACCAAAGATAACCAAATTACTGATGTTGCTCCTGAGCCGTCTACCTTCATGTTCAATTGTTTGTGCGTTCATTCAGTTAACAAACATGTTTGGAAGCCTAATCTATCCCAGCTCCTATTAAGTGTCTCCATGAGATGGTCCTCCATAAACACTAATCACATACCTTAAATTAAATTCCTCAGGCCCCCAAATCTACCCTTTACTCTCATATTCATCATTTCAGTGAAAGTCAACATAGCCCACTTTCTTTAACTTCACTCAACACCTGCCCCTATCTCTCCCTCCCTTACTGTCCAGTCACAAGTCCTGTGGCTCTTTCGTCTAGACCTCATTCAAATTCACCCTCTTTTTGCCTTCCTTTGTTTTCAGGGCCTCAGTTTGTACCCTTGTCACCCCTGATATAATAAGCTCGTACTGTGTTTCCCTTCCTCCAACTGGAACCCCCTTGCCAATCAGTCTTTCCAATCCAAGCCATCTGTTATGAAGACTGATCTAATCATGTGAATTGTGGAAACTTCAAGGGTGATGTTTCCTCATTAGGACAAAATACTGGCATCTCAGTACAGCAAATAGAACTCTTAGGAATGTGCTCTTTAACCCTTCAGCTATATTCTAACACCGTTAGCCTACTTCTCTTCAGAGTCTAGTTGCAAATCATTTCTTGTTCAGCAGGTTTATCACATGCTCATGTCTATGCATTTGCTCTTCTTTCTGCCTCCCTCTATTATTGCTCTTCACCTTCAAGATTCTTTTCAAGTATTACTTCTTTGCACAGGATTTTCAGCATCTGTGCTGCTGAAGTGAGCACTGCATGGAGTTTTCAGCTTCAGGCCCCTGTGTGGCCCCTGCCGTTCTACTTTGGCCATCTATGTATTGAGACACTTAGATAATAGCCTGCTTCTCTTTTGTCTACATCTTACTCTGCCACTCAAACCAACTTTCTGGAGCACAGATCCTTTATCACCTTGGATCTACCCATAGTACATGAAATATAATTAAATGATCAACAACATTTGCTGAACTAGTACTAATAATTATAATATTTTAAATGATTTTAACAATTTGTATGATGTAATTATAATTACTATTATAATGACAATATTTTAAAATTATTTTTAATGATTTTTAAGTGATTTGTATATGCTAAGTGTTTTAGCAAATCTGGGAGAAATGCACGTACACCCATTGAAGAAACCAAATTAAAGTTTGAGTGAGAGAACAAATAGGTAAATGTAAAAAACTCACTATGGGATTCCCGGAACAGGATGACTTTCAAGTATATATATTTTTTATACAGCCAATACTAAAAATACACCTTATGTCACAAATCCTCCATCATCCAGACACATAAAGTAATGGAAATGAAAGTTTTACAAATACTTATTCTTACTATCTTATGATGCCTTTTGATATTTTTTCTATAACCATTTTACTTCTAATTGTTGACTATAAGCCACTAAATTTATTTTATGACTTATTTTGCAATATAATGCTTTATTATTTTTACCATATTTGAGTTCTGTGGGTTTTCATTCATACCCAACTTCTGTAGATAATTCAGGTTAAATGTAAAAAGGAAATAAGCAATGTCTAATTTTTAAAGGTACTCAAAACTGATCATTTTTTAAATATGTGATCCTTACTGCTAATACCACCACTGCTGTTTGGTAACAACAAATAGCTTGTTGTGAGAATTTTTTTGGATATTTCATGCATATTGCAATCATTGGAAGCAGGCTTTGCAGTCACTGGATTGGATGGTTCCCACTTTCAGTCTTCTCTGCTCAGTCTAAACATAGGATCCATATTTCATATTGTGAAAGAGTTAAAACTCTCCAATGGTGCTCCATTTCTATTAGGTGTTCTTTCCTTATTTGTTTATTTAATAAAATGCTTTAGAGTAAAATACAATTATGGGGTAGTTTTCTTGAAATGAAGCTAGCAATAGGAATCTCTTCATATGTATGAAGAATCATTTCAGAATACTCTTTTTTTTTTCTGATTTCTAGACAACTCTATTACTGTGAATAAATCACATTTAATTCTTCTCTCACCACGGTGTTTGCAAGGAAGTTTTCAGTGTTTCTTCTTTAATCTTAAGAAGCACATATCTGCCAACTTTCATGTTGCTCTTGAAAAGTAATATTTCCCTTCATATGTCAGCATTTCAGTGCCTGGTATAGGGGAGAGTGTTCATTGTTTCTCTAAATGAAAGAGTATAAAATTGAGAAAGATAAAGAGATTTTGCCAGTGTTTTTCTGTAGAAACATTTTTCTTTAAAAAAAAATATCTTCTACAAAAACTATACCAGCAATGACGATATTTATCATGATATAAATGCTTTCATGACTAGAGTGGTGAATATTTTAAATTGAGACTTTGAAAAGCATACTTATGTGCATAAACATTTTATTTTTAAGTAATTTATATTTCAAGACAAGATTTAAGCTGTGTTGATAAATTTGTCAAAATTACATTTCCATATCTACACTCCTGCTAAGTATAGTAACGTAGCTGCCATGAATCCTAAATTTGAGTACACAACTTCCATATGTGGGACATAAAATGATATTTCTCAAATGTAATATGTGCTCCTCTTGATATGTCTGAAGACCATGGGTTTCCTTACCACATTTGGTGGTGATACTAACACAGAAGGCTGAAAAGTGGTATGGTAGCAGAGGGAGGCTGTCCATATTCATATAGGTATTTTTCTGAATGTATTTTATGAATTGGAGAATTGTTTATACCAGAAAGTATCAAAATTTTATTAGAAATATTACATATTGTTTGGTGGACTAACATAAAACAAAGCAACAAAAAAAAGGAGAGTTTTTTTTTTTTTTTTTTTTTTTTTTTTTTTTTTTTTTTTACATAGAAGAGCAGCCCTACACATGGTATTGGAGAACAAGCAGAGTGAGCAAGCGGTCCACACAGAGGTGGAGGAGAGGCAGGGATCCGCAGTGACAGCTGTCCAGTACAGGTGTCAGTGCCTGAGTAGGGTGAGGAGCATATCTGAAGTGAGAACAAAATGAAGTATTATAACTACAGTGATATATGTAAGGGACTGCTCGGGAAACAGTAGTGAGGAGAGCCCATGGCAAGTGGTGTCCAAGCCTGAGCAGAGTCAGGAGGGTGTCAGTGCAGTGAGACAAGGAGTGGAAACATGGGCTGACATTTGGTTGCATATAGGGGGTCTGATCACGACAATGTATTAAAGATGATGGGAACCAGGTTTCTCATAGTCGAGAAGGGAGGTACAAGTATAGAAAGGTAGGAAACTATGATTAATCCTTCAATGTAGTATCAAAATGGGAGATAGCGGTATGAACTTATGTTTTACCGCTTATTGAAATGACATAGAAATAGATACAGAAGTAAATATGTGTGTATTGGGATTCTCCATAGAAATAGAACCAATAATATACCTCTGTGTGTGTGTGTTTATGTATGTGGTTTATTATAAAGAGTCAGCTCACGTGATAATGAAGGCTGAAAAGTCTCAACATCTTCAGTTGGCAGTCTAGAGACCCAGGAAAGCTAGGCCAGCAGACTCAAGACCCAGGAAGAACCAGTGTTTAGGTTTGTGTCCAAAGGCAGGACAAAATTAATGTCCCAGTTCAAAGACAGGCAGGAGGAGTTTTCCCTTTCTCGTGGAAAGGTCAGTTTTGTTGTTCTATTCAGGCCACAAGTGGGTTGGATGAGGTAGCTCTCACTGAGAAGGGCAATATGCTTTACTCAGTTTACTGTTTCAAATGTTAATCTCACCCAGAAACATCCAGCAGCCTCACAGACACAACCAGAATAATATTTGACCAGATGTCTGAGCACCCCATGACCTGGTCAAATTGATACATAAAATTAACTATCACAGTATGTGTGGTTGTGTGTTTGCGTTTAAAAACAGCTAGCTTCCAGATCTTCGTTATTAAAAACTTCTCTCTAAAAGAGCTCCTTAGAGAAATGGCTGAATCCAAGGATGGGCAGGGAAAGTGTAATATGATCCTAGAATATCTCGTACCATAAAAGAGTGCTCAAAGAATGATGAGGACATATCAAAGAACACGG